CCGCTGTGGATAAAGAAATCAAGAAGATCAGGATTACGTTTGGGATCTGTGGGCCAGTAGGTAGGAGAGTTGGGGGAAAGGAGGTGAAAACGTTGGGAATTGAGTGCAGACAGCAGGGTTCGGCCACGAGAATTCGTGGTTCTGGAACCCCATTGTTGGTGCTTGGCATTTAGGTCTGCACCCAAGATGAAGTGATGTCCTAAGGAGTTGAGGAGAGAACTGAATTGGGCATTGGATATGGATCGGTTAGGAGGGCAATACGCTGATGCAAGAGTAACCGGAAAGGAGATGGTTTTTATCACGATAGCGGTGGACTGTAGGAAATCATGTATTGGTAATGGGGGTACGTGATGGGAGAGGGATTGGTGTACAATTACAGCAGTACCGGCATGTGATTTTCCGTCAGGGTGGTCAGTACGATATGTCAGGTATTGTGGTATATTGAGGTGCTGTTTAGTGGTTAGTCGAGTTTCAGTAATTAGTGCCACATCAATGTTCTTGTCAAGTAGTAAAGTAGATAGTTCGTCTATATGATTTCTAACACCATTCGCATTCCAAAGGAGAATGGATATGGGTTTAGGGATGTGAGTCATTTAAGGATTTTTCAAAGGAGGGATGAGGTGAGATACGAGATTCGTGAGGAGTGATATGAGTGGAGTAACAAGGGATTTGAAATCGGTGAGGAAAGATGCTAACAAACTTGTGAGATCAGTTGCATTTGAAGGAGGAGGAATATGAGGAATTTGTTGTTGGTGGTTAGGTATATTAGGATGAAAAGGATTTTGAGGTTGGGGTTGAGGTTGTTGTTGTGGCAGGGCTTGACATTTATCGGTTAAAGTCTTACCTCTAAGTAGTTGGGAGAATGATACATCATTGTTTACAATTCTGGAAGGCTCTCTCTCTCTTCTTGTTCTTAGTGCTTCATCTTGAATCCGGTTTTTCTGGTGTCTGGTTTTGAGATTCTTGTAAATTTGGCAGCCTTTGTAGTTGGCCGGGTGTCCCTCCAAACATAGGGCACATACTGCTGGATCTTGTATAGGTTTGGTGCACTCTACAGATTTGTGCTGTTCACCGCACTTCACGCAACGCGGCAAATGGTGGCAATATGACTTCGTGTGGCCATAGGTCTGACAATTATGGCACTGCACGATGTCTCTCTTGGGATATGGCTTCTCAACTTTCACCATTGTGTAGTATATTCTTGTGATATCATATATTTTTTCGATACCTGGTGATGGCTCCAAGTCCACGAAAAACAATGGTAGTGGGATCCTATTTCGTAATCCTGGCTGCTCCCTGTCCTCCTTCAAAACGTTTGTTACCTGGCGTACATTGAAACCAAGCGTCGTCAGTTCTTCTTTAATAACTTCAGTGGGGGTTGAGGAGTGTAAATTTCTTATCACTACTCGTAAAGCTCTTTCCTGCCTCAGCTGGTAAGTGTGAAAATTCGCATTTGTTTCTGATAAGTACTTCACTATTTTTCGGTAGGCTTCTGCAGAATCAGGTGTTATTTTGGTGTCATTGGTCCTGTTAAGGCATGAATAACTGCCAGAGCAGATTTTATTTAGTTGGGTGCAGAACATCTGGAAATTTTTTATATTTTTCACAAATATCGGAGGAGGCTTTGGTTCTCTGGGTATTGCTGCAGACTCCATTACTTCTCTGTCATTTTGAAGCACTTGGTAGGGGTTTGGAGTAAAGAAAGGTGATTCTTCAATCGTTTCTTGTGCAGACGTACCTGGTTGGGGCTGAGGTTCTGGTTCTGAAGTGTTCATTTTGGTCACTGGAGGTATATCTCGTAGGCAGCGACGAGTCCTTTGTTTGGCTGGTGAGCTAACTCCGTCTGACCGAGACCTCTTGGGCACCTTACTGGCCATCATTTGCTGATCATACCGCATATCATAAGAGAAAAAAAATAAATAAATAAAAATAAAAAAAAATTTTTTTTTTTTTTTTTAAGATAACAAAAAAAAAAGATGCCAACAGTAAATATCAACTGCTCTGATATACACTTTAACTGTATCACGTGAATAATCAGAGAGATTCCGCTATAAAATTGGTAAAAACTGAGAGAGGAGTTGAGGAGACAACCTTAGCATATTGCATTATTGCAGTTAATTAAATAAATCAGTGGAAAATCCTTCACTAAAAACAAAAAACTAATTGTGCCATATATATGTGTGTTACTGAAATAAAAAACTTAACGTAAGGCATATTAGGTGGGGTCAAGGATCAAACCACCACCTACGCCTTGGTACGCCCTAGGCTTGTAATTTAAAACCTTGTCAACTGAATGATTAGAGACCCTTCCAAGCATTTTGTATAGTAGCTGAATCGTGTGTGTGGGTGTAATGTAAACGTTGATAGATTTTTATAAGTAATTGAAAGGAAGATAACGGATGGCAATATAGGACCGAGGATTGCCGAATAAATAACTGGGTGCTTTCGAACTTGCCCGAAAGGTTAGTGAAGGATTCTAAACGATAGCGTGGATGTTATTTAATATTTTTTATTAATAGTATTGTTTACATTAATTTAAATATTTGTTTATATACCTGTGCTTAAACAAATAAAAATACCCACAAAGACTACAAAAATTTCGTAGCACTAAATTTAATATAATTAAATAAATAATTCACTCCCATTATCTCATCATCCCTTTTTCTGCTCAAAGTAGTATTTTGTGGTAAGTCAAAGTTGTGTAATACAAGCTCCGCACCAGATTTTTAGAACAGTTTTCAAATCGTTTACTCTGTAGTATATGTGCGAGTGCAAGTGAAAACTCGTATCTACCTACTAGGTAGCATTTATCACTATGGTAAAAATAATTTTCTTTTGACTGAAACATATATATATATATATATATATATATATATATATATATATACATATATATATATATATATATATATATATAAAAGTGTTTTTCTAACTGAGAATGGGATCGGTCCTACCCCGATGAGGAAGGATCCTTGAAGAACAATGGCAAGGAGCCATTATCCAATTGAAGGGACTCGCTCTTGAAGTGCGCACATCGGCAAACGTTTTATCAAGCGGAGCTCCGCGGCGGGCACTAATGATCTAATTCGCCACACTAAATTGCCCGAGGACCATCATGTTCTCAATGGGGCTCTGTAACGTTCTTCCGGGTCCCTGGGTCGCCTGGCTCCCATCCACAAAGTCTTCAGTTCATGTGTCGTCTTATCTCCTTCTAATACGTCTTATATCTCAAAATAACATCCCAAATCTCCTTTCTTATACAAAAATATACTCTTCATATTTCGGAAGTATTATTATTTAAAGTATTATGACTGAGATATGACTTGAAAATATAAGGCGCCTTAAGAAGTTAAATTTCGGCGCCCCTAAAGCAACTTTCAAGGAAACTTAGTTATTAATAAATGCAACTCAAGGCCCATTCATTCAAGTTGAGAAGCTTTTTATGCATTTAGGAATTCAAGAGAAAAAAATATCCTCTGAATCGAAAATTCCCAATCGCGTTTTACGTTTTAGTTCCTTACCTCTATTCAAATTTATAACACCTACTACTTTTAATCCTATTATAATTTTGATGAAAATTTTCAGGAATTGTGTGGGTTGGTAACTTGTTAATCTCTATACCATATTTATCAAATTCCATCTCCTACTCCTTCGTATATTTATGCACAAACGTATTTTCCTTAACATTCCTTGAGTTCAAAAACGCCTCGTCTGAATTAATTAAATTATAAATAGTATTTTGCGTATAGATATGATAAAATGTATCTTCTTAAACTTGCTTATATTTTAAAAACATCTCGTCCAACGTGGGCCGAAGAACTAATGTACAAGTGGTCCAGAATCAATCAATGATATTAAGTTACATCCACTTCTTCATGATAATCATACTTTTCAAAAACCCTCGTTTCATAGATTTTATTCCTCAATTTCTTATTAATCATGATCGTGAAGTAGAGGTTATTATGCATCCAATAGGTGAAAAAGTAATGGTGACTCCACTTAAGGTTTCTCTATTTGTACCGTTATTTTATTGACTGCGGGAGAAGAAGAAGAAAAAAAAAAAAAAAAAAAAAAAAAAAAAAAAAAAAAAAAAAAAAAAAAAAAAAAAAAAAAAAAAAAAAAAACCTTCGGTGGTCATAAAGCTTGCTTTGTGTCATTAAGGATACATTTTGTGATTAGTCATGTATATAGCTTTGATCACTCACAAAAATTTTGGATCTACGGACCTGTTTTCTTGAACTGCAGAGATATCTTTCAAAGAATCGTGTGGACCAATGATACCGGTGTAGGCGTAGAATGGTTGAATGTTGGGGATACAGAATTGACCTGGAACCCTTCAAGAAAAAATCGTAAATTACGGAGCGGTACCTGAACAGGTCATATACCTTGGCATTGTGCAGGACACATTCCTGCCTAACGGTCGGGACTCAGTTGTGCTGGTATCTCTTGACCCAATGGTGTCTTCCACGGCCAATCAGCTCCCTCCTTCGTACTCTGCTCCTGCGAGTTAGAACGTCTTATTGAGGAATACTTGAAGCTCTTGCAACTGATTTTATTATTGAAAAGGTCTCAATTCAAATGTGCATTTTGTTTTCGCTTAGTTTCGAAAAATTATTAATACACTTAAGAAACAACTTAAATTTAAACTATAGTTTAGTTAATATATTATTCAATCCCTTATCCACGAAAAAAAAAACATTTTTTACATTGTGGAAAATAATTATTTTATTCTGGCACTTAAGGAACGGAGTCGGGGTTCAGTCAATCAGTTAGTTCAATCCACACCTATCAAGTAGAATTATCTTACAGAAATACTTACTATATAATTAAGCCCCTCTCTCTTTATATGAAATATTAATTGCCTTGCTTACGTACATATATTAATTAAATTGCTATATTTCACATGCCATTTATTTGTTTATATTTTCACTTGATCCAATAAACCAAAACAAAAATTATATATCTGTTATATTCGATTCTAATGTCAATATCTGTTACAGGTTTAACGATTGAATGGAGAGGTAGCAAACGACTTCGCAGATATTGAATCAGCATGGTTACCGTACTATAAGATCATTTTAATTCTGAAAACCAACTTGAGTATTTAAGGGTGAGTGAAGATCATTTTAAAGTCTTTAAATTTCAATCTCTTATTTTCTGTTGTCCAAGGGACAGAATATTGTAATAATAAAAAAAATAAAAACAAAGTTATTTTCCAAAATCTGTTTTCGAGGGAACGATTATGTTCGAATTAAAAGAGCATTCGATTCAGCACTGGAATGGTTAAAACTCATAGTACTTAAAATAAAAAGAATTAAAATATCTAAGGTAACAGTGACTAAGAGTAATGTAACGATCGTGGCCTATTGATAAACCGTTATAGTTAATGTTATATACCAGAGACTGCAGTAAGATTAAGCAGTGCTAAAGGAGACGACAAATTTTTTTATATTTTGCTGTTGCTATATTTTTTAGTCACTAAATACACACACTAATATACATATTATATTCAATCTAATTCTATTAATTTTCAAATTTTCGTAACCCAAATAATTTAATATTAAGTGGTTCTCGCAATAGATTAATTAATATCGCACACAAATGTTTGAAGGCCGCAGGGTTCTCCATCTATATTATATACTTAACAAATCATTAAAAATCATGTAAGACGAATGATTCCGGCTTTAAATATTATTGGCTGACTCAAGTTTGATATAGATTACGATGGTTCTAATTAAATCTAAAATCAAATCGGCCCATGAATTTCGTATATCTCAAGCTATGTAACTATTGAACAAATGAAAGGTTTTATAAAGTTGTTTTATAAATGAGAGGTTATTAGATTTATCAGTAGCCATAGTGTGAGAATAAAATTTCAATAAGCAAATATAAGAAAAATAAAAGAGAATATCATACATATTAAAATATGAAAACAATTCCAGATTCCTTAATTTTTATTTTATTTTCCCTAAACCTAATATACTATTACATTTAATCAAAGGTAATCGGAAAGGGGCTAATGGCATTTGATATACATTTTAGGACCCTAAGAACTCGAATACTTAGATTTTCCGAGTGTCTGGTCTATGTCTATATATTATCCACCACTCTTCGGTACTTTAAGCTGGTCCTCTTTGGTCAAATAAGCTGATATTCTATTCAGGTTCTGTATGGTACATGGGTTGTTTTCTAGACAGGACAATATCTCCAAAATTTTGATAAACTCGGTCAAAACTTTAGAATTTGCCACCAAGTTAAATAGCGCACAGGTGGTTCTACGGGAGGCTTTCGGGCTTAAGCCTTCCCCAAATGGTAAAATATAACCATGTTTTATAGAAAACAATATTAAAAACTATCTCTTAAAGTATTATTGTTCGTATAATTACATTTAATAGGACTTCAAGAATCACTTGAACGCCGTGTCATATAGGTTAATAGTTTTTCAAATTAATTATAGTTATATATATGAAAAAAAAGGTTTCGGACTGCAGGTCCTCCCTCCTCCAAAATTAAATCCTGGATCCGCTATTGGAGTAGCGCATCTCTACGGGCCCTCCAAATCATGTTAGAAGGTTGAAAATTTGTTTTTAAATTAAGTTGGTGTTAGATAAGTGCCTTTTGGGATGTCAACTTTTTTTTTTACCAGCCTTCACCTTTGGTTTTGTCGGTTTTTACTAATATAACCAGATTCGGAATCAAAATTGAATAATGTTTTGTTTTATATGAAGAATTATTTGAAATCTTCGGAGCTTCTAAAAGGATTTCCAGGTAGAGGTCAAGGTTGCAAAGAACACAAATAAAAGAAAGGGGAGGAAGGTTCCTTTGGGGTAAACAAAGACTTCTTCAAAGGTGTGCCCCCTTGCCCGTTGGCGGTGCATCATTGTTCGTACCATAGCAAGAAACATAGCTTTATTCTTCAAAACCATCTACCTAGATTTTTTCTCCTTGAATCTATTTATTTCGGAAACCTATTCATTTGAAAAGAAATTTTATCTGAGAAATCAGTACGTTATTTTATAATTTTCAAAGTTGGGCGACGTAAGAATTAATAAAAGAAAACAAAATTTACTCAACTTGAAAGATGAAATGAGAGTAGGAATTTACCACATATGGCCAAACATTACAGTTGTATGAAAAATCCATATCTCACTAAAATCAGCGATTTCGCTATAAGTATGTTGGGCAGTAGCGGATTCAGAAGTAATTTTGTTGGTACATTTCTATTTTTTTTAAATAAAGGTAATTGCTGTAACAATAAATCTTTCTGTGATGAATTTTTTGTATTTTTTCTCGACAGGTGCTTAAATTTAGTAGCTGAAGCTGTTTGTCTAATAAGAGCAAATATTGGGGTCGTTTATGTATTTGGCTCAGATCACGGAATAATGAAAAAAAAATTCTCTATTTTGAGGAGACTTCACTTCGAAAGAAACGCTTGAATTCTAAACGCTAGCAATGTTCGAAGATTACCATCGAGGAAGAAATCGTTATTTTTATTTTTAAAAAACGATTTTTTTTTTGTTACTTTTGAAAGATGGATAAATTTTATTTCAAACATTAGTTTATACGTATCAAATTAAACTAAATTACGTGTTTTTCATTGCTTCGTTACATTTTTTTCTAAACATTCCATTCATAGTTCATCAAAGTCTTCCTTAGATGGATGGTGGAGGAAAGAATCGCATTTATATTATAGAATTAATTATAACGGAGGTGTTCCACCATATCACTATTACTATTAGAATTGCTCCGCAACTACAAAAAAAATTGAGAACCGATGTCGTAGTACAAGAAAGCTGATGTTCTCAAAAGTGTATATTGAAAACGAATAGCCAGTCTCGGATGTGAAGCAGCGGTGTTGGTTATTAGGAGACGCCTACGATGGACTAGAATTACTTTTTTTAACAAGAGGATCCTCAACCTCGAATAGTTGAGTTAGGCCTCGACAACTTGTTATCTATTTTTTTACCAATACGGATCCAGTTGAACATATTGATTGATATTGATACTTACGATAATAATGTAATAAAGGTACACCAGTTATAAGCGTCCCTTGATCACCTAACGATGAGTTGCCGAGATTGCTAGAGATAGATTGGAGGTTGCAGAAGCAGGAGCTAATTAAAGTAACAATAAGAGGGACGATATAAGGAGGATCGATCACTATCGAACCGTTAGAAGCTGATGGAGAAGATGAGCGCATGGAGGTAGGAGAGCTGAGGATGGGAACTGGCCGCCCTAATGACAGAGTCTTCATCCGATCCTATATAATTATGTCGCCATCTGGGCTGGGTCGGGGGTGGGTGAGGGAGGGTTCGCTTTCTGTCTGGGGTAGTTGGAACCTACCCTTTCTTCTGTGACCAGACTGTACTTTCTTAGGGGTATTGAGAATCTAATACCGACTATGAACGGGTAATGATGACCGAGCGGGTGCAAAAACCTAATTAGCTGAAGATAAAGAATACGAATCCCGGAGAGGCCATTAACTCTGGCATTAATCCCTCGCTCTCTCCTCTGGCTTGGAAAAAATTCGTATAGAATAGTCCAGAAAGGGAAGAAAAAGAATAATATCAACTATGAATAAAAAATAAAGTCAATTGCATTTTAAGTAATAGTTTATTTATTACCGTATACTTATAAATAACATCTAAATACCTATCCATGTCCCATTTCAGACATTTATGTCTATTAAATGAAAATATTTTTTTATTATCCTCGAACTGTTGTCCCTTTAGGACAAATTACAGATACAGAATAAATGCCTGTGTGGCCATACATAAAATTAATTATTTACAATTATTATTAAGATTAAGATTTTGAAAAAAGAATAAAACAAAAAATAGAACTATTACACTAAAAACATTCTGATATGTATAATACAAACGTGGGAAAATAAAATAGCATAAGTAAAGAAAATCATTTCTGGGGGAACTTTAAAAGTTCTCTTATCTACATTTCATGATCAATCGGGTTGGGATAGGAGTAGGTGGTTAAAAAGGAGAGATTTAAATGAGGAAACTGATTGTACATGTCGGATATCGGAAGGGATGGTATTCCAGAAGGAGACGGCTTGAATTATAAAGGATTTGTCAAACGCTGCAGTTCGGTGGGGAGGTGGATAGAGGTCGGAGGTACGAGATCTAGTGAGACGGGATTGAATGGAATATTTGAATTGTAGGCTGTGAAAAATATAGGAAGGCCGCTGAGTTGTGATGACTTGGTATAGAAATTTCTCTAGGAAGTACAGACGGCATTATTTATTACATCATAATAAATAATGGAAGAGCCTATGAATCCTTCCAAGATCAGAAGAGCTTTCCATTCTTAATTTTTGTGGACTTTACAATACAAGGAGTACATGTCCTGGTTTATGGCCTTAGTTTGCTGAGTTTAGTTATCGCTTATTTTAGCTATATTTCCAAAAGAAGGTTTATGTTCTTTAAAAGAAATATAATTGATGAGCCACTACTTCCTAAAAATAATCAACGAATAAAAAAACTTATCCATGTAAGTTTTGACTTAAGAGTGGGTGTCGTACTTGAACCACTGGCCATTGGCGATATTGGATTCAAGTTAGTTAAAGGTAGTTTCTGCAAAAGCTTATGAAATTATTAACTAACCATTTATTATTAAAACTTCCATTTACCATGTATTTCTAATAATAATAAGTTTAAATTAAATTTTTATTTTGGTAAATTTAAACTTTGCACCACTGGGCTAAGCATAGTTATAAATGTTAATATTTTCACCATTATGTGGCAGGTTAATTAAATAATAGAGTTATTCTGTATTCGAAGTATGTTAAAATATATTTACCTAAATGGTGTTGACATGTTTCGAATTTCAACGAATGCTTTGATGTATTTGAATATTGCGCGGATTTCTAATGTACCGAAAAATCCTTAATTTAGTGAACAATTTATATTAGGTTTTATCAGAGGTGAAAAAAAGGCCAGTTGAATTCCCGATAGATTTTGTTATTTATTTTCCTTTTCACTTGTTGTTAAAGTAAAACTCCTTGCCTTAACCGCCGTGGGAACTCAACAGAAGAAGAGGCAGGAGCGGTTCTTAAGACGTTTATCACAAGGACAATAGTACTTTAGAAAGAATTCT